GGGGGTGTGGAGGGGGAGCAAGAACTGAGTACTGACCATGGTGGCAGAGAATTGTCAGTTAGACCAATAACTGCCAAAGTGGTTTTAGGACTTGTAAGTGTTAAAATATTTGAGTGAAGAAGTATTATAAAGGCCAGGTTCTAATTATATAATGGAATTTGTTAGTTGATGTTCATGATTATGATATGGCTGGCATTTATCTTCACTTTGACAATGGTCATAATAGCACAAACTATGGGTTGTGGGCACCCTATACTAAAGTATCTAACTTTTTATTAAAGATTTAATTATATATATATCCTGTTGAAATTACATTGTAACTATGAGTTGTGACTACTTTTTGCCTATAGAATAGTAGTTTATTATCCTCACTTCACTTATTGATTGCATTATCTAGCTAGTAGTGTTATTGTGGGCACACATATTGCTAAAGTAGATATAACATCGTTTGCCCACTTCTACATGGCTTGTCTAACAAAGCCAAATCTAGGTAAAGCAGAACCTTCATGGACCCAAAAGTCCAGAGGAGTTGAAAGCAAAATTTTGGCTGGGGTCACCAGGGTTAAAATTCAACTACTTTTCTCCAAAATCAAATGTATAATATAATGCATGAACTTCCCTCAAACACTATTCTTTGTCCAATCCCTTCTTTTAGATACTCCTTCCGTATCTATTATTTTTAATTGTTCAGTTTAAAAAATTGTTATTTTATTTATTACTAGTGTGTCAAGTCAATGATGTACACGCAAAAATGGACGGAAGAGTAATATTTTAAAAAAAACATACAAATGTCATTTAACTTGACCTTTGTTGACATTTATGTCTTTCAACTTTGAGTGTGCACGAGTAAACACTTAAACTTGTATAAAATTGAACAAACAAATAGACACACGGGTTATGTGTGGTATAATACACGTAAGATGTCGCGTAAGACACAATTTTTCAGTGGCGTAGCTACACTCATGTTAGGGTGTCCAATTGGACATCATTCGTTGGAAAATTATAATGTATATACACGTATAATGATAAATAAAGTGGTTAAATAACATATTTTGGGCACCCTTGACACAACAATATGATGTAGTCCAATGATTTTAGGCGCCTCTAAAGAGCAAAGACACACCTTAAAGTGTTTGTGTGTTCAAATCTTAGTAGCACGCAAATCTTAGACACACTTTTATAAGAAGAGCATTCACACTTTAACACCTGGACACACTTCGTGAAATATTGTTCCTTGTGGAAGTAGACGACCTGGATTTGTATACAAGACATATATCCTACAGCTCCACCAAATCAAACATCCATTCTTGTTTGATGAACTGTCTTTCTAATTAAGATACTTCTCTGAATT